CTGACCCCCTTAGGCCCGGAGCGGTTCCCCTCCTGGCCCCGCTCTCCCCTGCTGGCCACACTGCCCCCGGTCATGCTGGGGCGGTACTCTTGCCTCGGGCTGTGCTGCTCACCTGGGGGGGGGGAGGGGGGACAGGAGGGGAGAGAGAGAAAGAAGAATCTAAGCTGCTATCCCAGATGCCAGCCCCCAATGTCACTGGTGTGGCCAGAGCTGCATTCCCCACCACACCAGCCGAGCCCCTGAACCTGGCCAGCTGGGGCTTTTTGGTCCAGCAATATCCACGGTCCAAATGTTGCCAGACCAGAGTCCCAATGCCAGCCCCCAATGTCACTGGTGTGGCCAGAGCTGCATTCCCCACCACACCAGCCGAGCCCCTGAACCTGGCCAGCTGGGGCTTTTTGGTCCAGCAATATCCACGGTCCAAATGTTGCCAGACCAGAGTCCCAGATTTCAGAGGTGTATAGAAGGGTTGCTTCAGAACTGGATCCATTTGTTTAAGTTTCATTCTAAAAATAACCATCCAGCTTTTCAAAGTATTTCATTTTGTACATGTTTAAAAATATTAAGCCATTCAGTCTAATTCTGTTCTTGCCAAGGCGACAACCTACAGTTTTATCTTCTTGATTTAAACCCATCCCAATCAAAAATTCACATTTGTTGCGGTATTCAGTCTAAAGTTTAAAAGAAAAAAGTTACCTATGCTATGTATGTTATATCCTACATATTGACTACTCCTGCCCTCAAAGATCTATTGTAAACATTAGTCTCAAATTTTAAGTCTTAAAAATTTACCAAGGCGACAACCTACAGTTTTATCTTCTTGATTTAAACCCATCCCAATCAAAAATTCACATTTGTTGCGGTATTCAGTCTAAAGTTTAAAAGAAAAAAGTTACCTATGCTATGTATGTTATATCCTACATATTGACTACTCCTGCCCTCAAAGATCTATTGTAAACATTAGTCTCAAATTTTAAGTCTTAAAAATTTAGTTAGGGAATTTCTTTGATGGCTTGAAACTTAGAATACCAAGTTTCAGCCCATATTTGGAAATTAAAATTTCCAAATAATGGTACTGAAAGCTTCAAAGGGGTAGCCGAGTTTGCTGTTTTTTCCAGTTATAGACCAATAGTCTAGTAGCACCTTAAAGGATAAACAAAACATGTAGATAGTATCATAATACTTTTAATACTCTAGTCATCTGAAGTAGATTTTGCCCACAAAAGCTCATATTGTTGAAATAAAGCATTGTAACTTCTACTTAATTACCAAGCTACAGTATTGTCCGTCAGATAATGCCCCATCCCAGAACAAGTTAGATTTTGAGGTACCTGTAAAGGTGATGGTTTCACTCCCTCTAGTGGGCAACAGATTTTATTATATTTCTGCTTCTGCACAAACAGCCAGGGTAACAGAGCTTTGTTGTTGTTTCCTATTTCCCTGCAAAAATTTAACAGATTTATAGATGAAAGTCTAATCTACAAAAATACATAGCACAGCTGCAGAGTTCTAGGATAAAGCAGATTGAACTGTTGGCCTGTTACCCCTTTGCTGGAATCACCACAAAAGGAACATAGAAGAGTTCCGCATTTTTTTCTAATTAAAATATAATGTTGACAGCTAAACTGACTTCCCGCCAATCCCGCTTAAGTGAAATGTCTGTTGAAAAGTAGACTCTTAAGATGATGGGAGTTGGGTGGTATTTATGCATGGAGGTGGGGGAGGGGGGAACAAACAAACAAAAAAACCCCACACTTGTCTGCTTTTATTTTTTGTAAAATGCCTAATGACTACTGAGGTTAGATGTTTATTTCTGTGGATAGTTAGGTAACTGATTAAGGCACAGATAAAACTGAGGATCTTAAATATAAAACTATTCTTAGGAGTAATACTTCAAAGACAATAAATAAAGTGTGAGAATTAGAGTAGACTGGTTGACAGAAGACCATCAGAATAACGTCATTGCTAGCACAGGTCATCCCTTATTTCACTGAAAGCCTGCCAAATACAGTTTTATAGTGGTATAAAAACCTTCATTTTAATGTTGGTGGTTTATAGAATAATTTTCTTTAAAATTACATCCCTTAATTTAAGCAAGGCATTTTCAAAGGGATCAATTTACTGAAAACATCAAATCCTATACATTTGATCAGTATAATTTTCAAGACATGGGTTTGAAGTGGTAGTTTAAGGAAAGGCATTCTTACATATTAAAAGAGACTTACTTACAACTTATGTCTATATAAGGAATAGAAAAAAGATTTACTGGATTTTAACTATATTCACTGAAATTTGTTTGAAAGCTCATAAATATTCGAGTACCATTACATAAAGGAATTACTTTGTCAGTTTCTGCAGCACTTGTTCACACTCTTGCTTCTTCTTTGTCAGCTGTTCTTCATATGGTATATTCCACAAAGGAGTCACCACGTCTGCTATCTGTTTTGTTATAGGCTCCTCTTCACTATCTTTTGCCAAAGCTGGACGTTTTGCCTCTCTCTGTTCAATGTCCTCCTCTTCTTTTTTCCTCTTTTTTACAATGGGATCAGCTTTAGGCTTTGCAAGCCTAACACTCAAATAGCGGCTTTTCCACATTACTCCATGAAGGACTTTCATAGCTTTGTCCCTTTCCTCCTCACTTTTAAATGTCACAAATGCAAAAGTTTGCTTCCCAAAAAGTTTTATCTTATGAGGATTAAGTCCATATTTTGCAAGAAACTTCTTTACATCATTAAAGCCAATATATTTAGGAAGGTTCTGAATTTCTACTTTATAAATCTCCGAAGTAAACAAATCCCCTTTGATGTATCTGTACATATCAGGACAATTTGCTGTTTTCTCTGCATGGCTATCACCTTCATCATGCTTAATTTCCACTTCAGTCACACTTTCTACTTCTGCAGAAAGAGCTTTATTTTCTCCTTCAGGGGCACAAAGGCTACTATTTTCTTCCATCATTCCTTCAGTCCTGTAAAGATTTGTTTCACAGATTACTTTTTAAACAAGGACTTGCAGAAGTTAGAAAATGTTGGTAACTGAACCACAAGGCACGTCACAAATCAGTGTTCTATTTTTTCCATCCATGTATGGAATACATTTTATGCAACCCAAGGCATGTGTGGATGTACACCACAAATAGAAAGGTTTTGCCAGCTTCACTCTACTAATTAGCTGGGTGATACCTAAATCACTCCTGCGTGGCCAACAATGCCCACAGCTACAGAAAACAATGCTACCAACCCCTACTACTAATATACCACAACAAGGTGCCATCACAGTACATAACCTGGGCTACCACCATGTGTTATCATGGTCATGCCCTTTCACTCTGAACACACCACAACATGCCATTCTAGGTTACCACCAGGGCACAGCTACCGTTGCTACACCAGCATATTCCAGAACAGGCTGTGATGCCATTGCAGCATCCCACCCTTGCGACTCTAGTGACACGGCACCACTCCCATAGGCTCCCTCCATGAGCCATAGCAAATAGGCCATCGCTATGCATCAGCCCACGGGAGTCCACGTGCCCCAGTACACAACTCCCCCGCCCCCCACGTTGCCCATGTGCAACAGCAAAGGGCCATCACCTTTTGCCGCCACTTCACCCCATAGACCACCAATGGCGCCAGGGAGCCCTCCTGGCACTACACGCC